GTCGCAAGGACGGGGGGTGGGGGGACTGGTGCTGGAGCCAGCGCTGCCCTTGGAGAGGCCGAGGAGCAGGGAGGCCATGGGAAACACGGAGCGTTCGGGAGCGGGACGTGGGGCACAGGGGCCTGCGGTGGCTCCAGGGGACGCCCAGTGTCAGGGCTGAGCTGGGACCTTAAACCTCCTGTTCGCCCCGCCGTGACACGGGGGCACCCAGCTCGTCGCCGCTCCCGCTCTGCGCCCGGCAAGGCTGGCGCTGGGCAGCGGGGGGTTCAGGTCTCTGCAGCTCTAGGCTGAAGCTGCTCGTGTTTCTGGTTTGATGGTTCCTTAGTCCTCTCATTGACTCATGTTCTTGGTTTGGTCTACATTTAAATGTCAAGTTAATGCTTAAAGCCTTAACCATTGCCAGAGCTTCCGGAGGAATTCCTGTGCTCCATTGTTTTGGGGCGATGTAGTGGGGGGCAGAACAGGACCCTCTTGCTGTCACCTTAAGCACCTTTGCGTGTTCTCACGTCAGGGGGGATTTGAGGGGCACAGAGCAGCTGGAAGGCAAGGGCAGCCGTTCTTAGATTTTTTTTCCCCCCAAAAGCATAAGGTTATTTGTGGCATGGCTGTAAATTGTCTTTGCTCTCTTCAAATGTAACTGGTATCCTGGAAGACAGGATTTTCCTGAGTTATTTGAAAGGTTGCTATATGTGAATTTGCTCTTTGGTTTTGGCCTTCGCTTGGGACTTGCTGTAAGCTCTGCAGAGTTTATTTACCAGGTTATCCTCAGTGCTGTTATCAGCCTGTCTCTTAAAAACCTGTGAAGCGAGCTAGGGCATACACGAAGCAAATTCCTGGTGCCTGCAGCAAGGGAGTTTTCTCCAGTGTGGCACTTGGAAAATGATAGTTGTGTTTCTTGCTGCAGTAAATCAAACCTTGTTCTACGTTTGTCAGAACAGAGGTTGCAAATACATTTATTGTGGTTACCCTTGTTTGAAGTTGGAGTGTTTTTATGATTATTCTCCATGTTTCCTGATGATATGATCTGCACTTAGTGGAAAGACTCTGCTTTTGAGTGTAACTATAATTGTGAAATTCAGCAAGGATTCTGCTGGGCAGCTTTGTGCAGCTGGGCGATAATGTGCTGTTTTCCTTTTTCCTCTGTTTTTATTGTCTGTAATCTGCTGTGGGTCACTGTGAAAACAATGCCAGACAACAGAGACTCGCACAGTGCAACCGGACCGCAGCCCGTGGGCTCTGTTGGATGCCTGTCGTGTGGTGTCGGGCCACATCCTCTGGTAGATGAAAACCCTTAAGTTGTCATTAGAGCGCGGCTGGGGTCCGAGGGACCCTATCAGCAGTAGTGCTGCTGCCAGGATGAGGCTGTTCCTCGCTCGGAAGCAGCCGCCGGAGCCAGGGCTGCGTCGGAAACGTCACCGTGCTGCGATGGGGCTCGCGTGGCCCTCCCAGAACAGCTGCAGAGAAGCCTCCCTTGCAGGTGAAGTGACCTTCCCAAGCGCTTCCCAGGAACAGCTCGTTTCTCGTTCGCAGGAGCAGAAACAGGGTGAATTCAGGCCAGTCTGGGCAATACTGGGTGAGGAGAGGTAACCGCAGGGCCAGAGCAGGCAGGAGCTCTGCAGAGCGAAGCAACCAGCCCCGTTTCTGCCCTGCTTCCTTGGCAGCTGGACGAGATCGCGACTGCTCTGCAGTGCCGCCCTGCAGAACCCGTTAAAGGTGGTGGTGGGAGCTGCCATTGCCCCTCAGCTGCCACTCATGGGGTGGTAATTCCAGCGTATTAAAATGAGTTGGGTGGTCAGGAAAAGAAGGGCAATATCAGTGTTGGTGGAAGGAACACCAGTATTGGTGTTGGGGTTGGTGGAAGGAAGAGGAAGGAAAGTGCCAAGAGTCAGAGCTCGTTGCAAGGCAGCAGGCTTGTGCTCTGGGTGTTGAGGCAGCAGCACCTGGGGGACTGGAGGCAAAAGGCAACAGCGCTTGGGGAGGAGTGACTCACAACTTTGCTGGTAATATTAAAGATAATAGCGTCTAAAAGAAAAGGGGAATTGGGGAAAAGTAGGTAAAGAAATAAAAAGATCGGAGGAAGCATGTTTTGGGTAGTTTGGAGGATATAGCTTTTTAGCCATGCTGCAGATGGTGGCATCAAAACCAGTCAAATTGCCCACTCCTATGCTTGTTTTTGAGCCAATACTTGCAATTGTTTGAGTCATGTCTGTCATGGACCTGGCAATTGCACAAATGAAATGATGGCGCTCTGCTGTGTTTGGACAGTCCCTGTAATCGAGGTATCAATAATTTGATTTTGTGGTGCAGAAAAAGTGCTGGTGAGACCTTCTGTGCAGCTCGGTAAGCACTTTGCTGGCCCACAGGCATTTTTCAGTTCTGTCCACAAAAATGCAGCGCAGCACAAAAACTAATAAGCTTGTGTGTGTGTTGGCGGTGGAGTGAAATATCTTGGCAAAGAAAGATTTCAATTTCAAGCTTGAGAGAACGAAAAAGTGGTGGCTTTTCTAAATAAATAAATAAAAAGCTTTGTGTTTCCCAGGGTTTCGGAAGAACAAAAGGGGGGGGGGGAATCAAAGGCCTCCGGGTGGGTGCTGCAAGTAGGATTAATTGTTCTTTCCATCAAGATGCAACATAAAAATGTGTCGTTAGGGGGAGTTGACATTTTCCTTTGTCTGAAATGTGTATTCTCACTTGCAATCAGGATATTAAAAATTTTTTTTGAAGGGGGAAAATGAAATTGTTTCCCCAGGGGAAAGACAGCTGCGGAACACGTCAGGATCTCCTCGTTATAGGCAGTTAAAACGGTCTTTCTCCTTTGTGATTGAAATCAGAAAGCTGGAGTGGACACTGCTGCTTTTCTAGACTATCTGCAATAGGTGTTTTTATTTTCCCTGACATTATTCACTTGAATCCTTTAAATCCACCGGTTTTCCGGACAATAACATCTAGTACAGAGGAAATATTGTGGAACCTGTGCGTGCAAAGCATTTCCTTCTTTCCGTGTGTTACTGCTCTCACCAAGTGTTCTTCCTCTGAGTTCTGGGCTTGCAGACTGCTGTTGTCCAGCTCGGGATGCTCCTTGACTGTTTGTTCTCTCTTTCAGGTGTTTTAAGGAATCGGAACCATGACGGACTCCAAATACTTCACAACCAATAAAAAAGGTCGGGGTTAAATGAATGCAGTGGATTGGAGGCTCCTGGGGGTGGTGGTGACTATTTTTACACAGCTTTTTTTTTAACTGTCTGCAGAAGAATTTTAAATTTTCTGTTATTTCTGTCCCTATTTCTCCTCTTAATCATCCAGGGAGAAACTTCAAAAATAGGTCACATGGTGACAGAAGAAAAAACTGATGCTGTTGAGTTTTTTTTTGTTAGTGTACCAATTTTATGGGAGCAAGAGCCTGAAAAGGGAAAGAAAAGAAAAACTCCCATGGATGTGTGTGGGGTGTTTTTTTTTTTTTTTTTTTTTTAATTTATCAGAATTTCTTTGCAAATGGTCAGGCAGGTTAACTCTGCAGACAGCTTCATCATCCTTGTTTGTGAACTTTGTTTTTCAGCCTAAACCTTGCAAAACACTAAGTGAATTTAGTTTTCTAGTTTTGCAAGGGAAATAGTTCTGTCGTCATGTAGCCAGTGTAGGATGCTACAGTAACCACAGATGAAAGAATCTAGGGATGTGTATATAGGATGGGGAGAAAGTCTGGATACTTTTCATCCATTTTTTTTCTTTTCCAAGAGTTTCAATCTGTTTTCTCTTCTTCCAGGAGAGATTTTTGAACTGAAAGCGGAACTCAATAATGAAAAGAAAGAGAAGAGAAAAGAAGCTGTGAAAAAGGTTATTGCAGCCATGACTGTAGGAAAGGATGTCAGGTAAAAGCTGCTTTTCTTTCACCTGTAGTAACTGTGATTCTCCTTGGACTCCTAAGTGTCCATACGAGGTACATGACTCTGGAAGGCTCCCCAACAGGGAGAAGGGAGACACCATGTCACAGGATCCAAGTTCTTCACCTCAGTGAGTTGGGTAGTGAGACTGGATGTGTACTGGCTTATGGTAGGCTCAGTACACAGTGTTTTTTTTCAAGCTCCTTTTTGTTACAGAAAGCCAAATAAAACAATTTTTTCTGTGCCAGTTTAGCTAGGTGCCTCTTATCACTTTTTATTTAAAAATCTTTCAAGATTTCAGCCATTTTTAGATATCATTGTAGACAATGTTTCTGATCTACTTGCTAGCTGGAGTCTTAATTTGGGGAAATTGGTTCTTCTTTATCATTCTTTTAAATAATTTAATGCCATTGCAGGTAAAAGCACATCTTAAACTTGAATCTTTTTTAAAAACTTACTCTTTGAGATTACATCA